TTCTGCTAGTGGCACCCGCTTCGGCTCTCTCTGGGGCCAGGTCCTGGCAAGCAAAAAGCAGCTGCGGTGTCTGAGTGAGTAGCTCGCCTCCACCTCCCTGACGCTCCCTGCACACCACCTGTCCGCGTTCTCCCCCCATGGCTGCCGCTGCTGCTGCCGCTGCTGCCCTGGGATTGCTTAGGGCCGCCAAGTCCCTCTTGGGAAACGTCTGGCGATCTGGGGGCGGGGCCCAGGGAAGGGGAAGTCTGGGGAGGGGAGAGACCTCAGTCGGGTGCAGGACCATAAAGGCCACCCTCCAAAGTTGCCATTTCCTCCAGGGGAACCAATCACTACTGTTGTCTGGAGACCAGTCATAATCCAGGGAGATTTCCAGCCTCCACCTGGGGAGTGGCAACATAGCTTGCACGCCCCACCCTCTGCCCACTCAGAAAGGGACCAGGTGCCTCCTCTTCTTGAGTCTGACAGCTGCACCAGTGGCAGAAATCCAGCAGGTGAAACTTCCAGACATTGTAGATGCAGGCAAAACCAAACTGTCCAAACACAAACCACAGTTTGCCTACCTTTTTATTGGAACCAATCAAAATGAGGGGGGGGGGAAGCAGGGCTATTTTGGGGCAGGAACGCACAGGAACGGAGTTCCGGCTGGCTCCTGAGTTGGCCACACCCAGCAGGAACTCATTAGCATAATAGGCCACACCCAACAGCAGGAACTCATTAGGACTGGCTACATTAGGGGTGTGTGGCCTAACATGCAAAGGAGTTCCTGCTACCAAAAAAGCCCTGGGTTTTGACAACAAACAAGGTAAACAGAATAAGAAGCAAAAGGTGGGTGTGGCTGGATAACCACACTTCTGGTAACATGGGGGTGCGGCCTAATGTGCTAATGAGCTGTGCTGTCAGGGGTGTGGCCCAATATGCTAATGAGTTCCTGTTGTCGGGTGTGGCCTATTATGCTAATAAGTTCCTGCTGGGCTTTTTCTACAAAAAGAGCCCTGGAAAAAAGGATTGTGCAAACTTTCAGTTGCAAGACGAAATGGGGAGGGGCAAGCAGAAAAAAAACCAAGCAAACAAAGGACTGGGACATGATTTTAAAGGCCTTTTCTCGCCATCATCCTGTGCTCAATACAGTTGGGCAAGTAGATAAACAGTGGAGGCTCTGGGGTGGGAGATTCCTGGGGACTGAGGGTGGACCCGGGGAGGGTGGGGTTTGGGGGACGGGAGAGACATCAACAGTATGGTCGCCAGTTGCCAGGTGGGGCCTGGAGATCTCCCAGACTACAGGGCTCAGTTCTCCTCTCCAGACTACAGGGATCAGTTCCCCTGGATGAAATGGCTTCCTAAGGCGGACTTTATGGCGTTATACCCTACTTAGTCTCCAGGAATCTTCCACCCATGGTTGGCAACCTTACTCAGCAGGGTATAATGCCATAGGATCCACCCTCCAAAACGGCTGTTTTCTCCAGGGAATTGATCTCTGTAGTCTGTAGTCATTCTGGGAGTTTGGCAACCCTGCTCTGATGTCAAGTTGCACTGAGTGAGGGCAAAAAAGTTGTCTCTCCATGGCTATGAAAGGCCAGCAGTCTTCCTTGTATCTCTCTGTCACCAGGAGAGATTCACAGATCCCCTGTAGGGCCAGAGCACAGGAAATAATCATTGTATTAACGATTTTGGAGATGAGTTTATGGTGATGTACGAGGTGCGTCAAAATAAAGCCAAACTGAGTTGTTTTGCCTTGTGTTGTGGATAAATTACCATAGGTAAAAAGGTAAAGGTTCCCTTGCTCGAAAGCCAGTCGAATCCGACTGTAGTGTTGCGGTGCTCATCTCCGTTTCAAAGCCGAAGAGCCAGCGCTGTCCGAAGATGTTTCCGTGATCATGTGGCCGGCATGACTAAACACCAAGGCACACGGAACGCTGTTACCTTCCCACTGAAGTGGTACCTATTTATCTACTTGCAATTTCTTGCTTTCGAACTGCTAGGTTGGCAGGAGCTGGAACTAGAGACGGGCGCTCACTCCATCATGCGGCACACTCGGGTCTCGAACTGCTGAACTACCGACCTCCCACTGCCTGCAGTTCAGCGTCTTAACCACTTGAGCCACCGCAGCTCCCTAAATTACCATAGACACAGTCTATTGCTAGTTCGTTCTCTTCCAGTTGACACATTCCTCTCAGCTGAATGCAGGTATTCCCAAAGTAGACAGAAGTTGTCTACAGTCATGCTGGTCCAAAATCCAAATCCAAACCACAGTTCACACAATTGTTTTTAATGAGAATCAAGCAACAGGGTTTCAAGTTCTCTAGAACTCTTCCTCAGGCTGGATGTTAGCAAATAAGAGAGATGAGGCAGAAAAAGAGATGTGTCAGTCCATGCATCTACTATGGTTGACTCTGTGAACAGTCTTTTTGTTTTGGAATGCCAGGGGGTGTCTCACTATTTGTGATGTGACCCCCCCCAATACACACACACCAGCCAAAGGCACACATCGGCTTGCTCGGTTGTCTTGTGATAGGGAAGTAGTGCCTGTAGGACATCTCTGGGGAACCTGCACAAAACTTATTTCCAATGGCTGCAATACAGCTCTCCCTGTGTGTGTGTGTGTGTGTGAGCTGCTGCTTCCCCCCACCCCCCAGGCCAAAATTTACTAACAAATTAGAGCAAAACAGTCTGCTAGTAATGTAACTAGGAAGGTTGCATGCAAGTCTTTGCCAGGGAGAAAGCAAAGCTCTGGTCCAGGGCACATTACCCTGCCCCCATATGCACATGTACATCTGCCCATGCTCGAGCAGTGAGAAAGAACACCAAGCAGTTTCAGGTGCTCAGAGTGTTGTTATCTGCATTACAGTGGCAATGGATGCAATATCTATCATCTTGTACAGCAGCAGACTGTGATGTTCACCAGTTGGCAGGTCCTTTATTTGTGGGGAGGTTTCTCTGGGGCTGGGCAACAACTGCCCGGCCAGGAAAATGGGTAGGAGGGGGGAAAAGAACAAGGTGCAAGGAGAGCTGTTTATTTGACCTTTTAGATCCCAGCATGTTCCACAATAAGCTTCGTAGGGATCATAAGCAGAAACTTCTCTGTCTACCCTTGGACAAATAGTAACTATGCTGGGGGGAAAAATCACATTTTTGATCCATCTGCAGTGTTTGCAATCCATGGCAATGGCGCAAAGACTAAGATCTGTGATTTGTGGTTCACTCTGTAAGCATGGATGTGGTGTGTGATATCCTGATGAGTTTAGGGTGAGCCCACATAAAATTCCTGAGGATCCTTGAGGATCCAGTGCTTTGGATCTTATGTTTTTGAGCCACGGTGGTGCCATGAAAGGTTGGACTCATGCCTTTTGTGGTGCAGTCTGTCGCCATGGATGTGATATATGATTTGTGGGTGACCCCACATAAAAATTCTGAAGATCCATGAGAATCCATGCTTTGGATCCATGTTTTTGCAGTGTGTGACGGTGCCACAAAGCCACGGATCCATGAATTTTGTGGTACAATCTGTGGCCACGGATCTGATGAGTGATTTGCAAGTGTTTGTGTGACCTCACTTTAAAATTACAAGGATCCATGAGGATCTGTGCTTTGAACCCATGTTTTAGTGCCATGGTAGTGGATGTGATTTCTATGTTGCATTCTGTGACGAGTGATTTGATGGTGAGTCTGGGATGACCCCACATAAAAAATCCTGAGGATCCATGCTTTAGAACCATGTTTTGCAATGCCATGAAGCGATGGATCAATGAATTTTATGGTGCAGGCTGTGGCCATATGTATACAATTGGATAAAACTCCTGAGAGGATCCAAGGGGATCTGGGTGTTGGATTCATATTTTTGTGCCATGGTGGTGCCATGATGCAGTGGGTTTTTGTGATGCAATCTGGCTATGGACATTATATGTGATTTGATGGTGAGTTTGGCTTGACCCAACAGCAAAATCCTGAGGATCCATGAGGATCTGTGCTTCAGAATCTTGTTTTTGCACTGTACTGGAACAACTAAACAGTAGATGCATGATTTTTCCAGTGCAATCTGTGGCTATGGAGAGGATATGTGATTTGATGGCGAGTTTGGGGTAACGCAATGCAAAAACCTGAGTATCCATAATTTGGAACCATAATTTTTCCGCCAAGACGGTACCACAAAGCAATGGAAATTGTTTTTTCCAGTGCAATCTGTGGCTATGGGCATGATACATGACTTGATGTTGAATTTGAGTTGACCAAAGACTTATGAGGTTCCGTGAGGATGACCTGTGCTTTGTAGCTATGTTTTTCACCATTGTGGTGCCGTTAAGCCATCAATGCGTGATTTTTGTAATGCTGCTTATAGCCATGATCTACAATACGATAGAGGTTTTATTTTGTTTCAATGTAGAAATCATATGAATTCATGAGGATCCCTTTAAAATCACCTAGATGCATAATTTTACCCTGTGTCCCTATCTTCAAGCATTTACTTCTTACTCTACATATCCAGAAACTTTCTTAAATTGAAGGGTTGGGCTAGGTCGGTGCTCGACTTAAATGTTTTTAAATGTAAGAAAACCTTTACATTGTAATTAGTAGCAATAATATTTTAAATGGCTTCAAATACATTTCGTATGAAAACGACGCTTCTAAAAAGGATCTTTTCCACAAAAAAAAGTTAAACTCGCCTCTCCACACGGTTGCTAGGGCAGCCCGCGTTTCCCCAACCTTGGCAACGGCGGAACGCAGCGACATCCCGCAAGAGCTGGGGTTCTCGCGAGAAGTGAGAGGCGCCTTATCGCGCGGGCGAGGGGAGGGACGAACGAGAGGAAACCTTTAGCGAGCGAGCCCATCCGGAGTCTCGCGAGCCCTTGAGTGCCGAGTGTGGGAGGGGCCAGAAGGCGGGGCCTTCGGTTTGCTAGGGTCGTCCGTGGGGGAGATGTCGCGGTATTTCCTTGGGCTAAGATAGCCGTTCTCGCGGGACTTCGGGCCCCTGGGGGCGGGGCTTGGGGCCGTCCCTGTGAGGAGGACGGGTCAGGCCAGGCTCAGCTAGTCTTCCTGGGGCGGGGAGAGGAGCCGGCGCGCGGGCCTGGCCACTACCTCCTGGCCGAGGGGACTTGGACAGTGGCCGGGCGACCCCGGTGACGCGAAGGTCAGTGGCAGCCCCTGAGAGGCTCCCCTCGCCGATGGGGGAGTGGGAGGGGCTTCTCCTCCCCCGAGGCGGTATCTGCGCGCGTGCGCCGCCTCCTTTGCGTCAAGCTCCTAGTCCTCGTGGTTTTCTCGTTTCAACGTTTGCTGCAGTTGGAGTCGGCGATGGTCAAAAGGCAGGAGTGTCTCTGCAAATCCCCTTCCCGCCCGCCGGAAGGAAAGTGGGGTTTAAATAGATGCCTGCAGCCCATAAGCAGCCTCTCTGGTCTGGTGACCGGAGGGCCAGCCAGCCAGCAAGGATGAGACTAGAACTAGAATTTTTGGGTAGAAGCTTTCGTGGGCTTGCACCCCTCTTCAGGTCTGAGGAAGTGTGCATGCCCACGAACGTTGCTACCCAGAATTTAAACTGTGTTGGTCTTAAAGGTGGTGGTGCCACTGGACTCAAACTTTGTTCTGTTGTTTCAGACCAACACGGTGACCCACCTGAATCTATAACATGGATAGTGCCGGTTGTTATTGATTCTGTTACTGATGTTGCTGTGAAGTGCCAGAGGGGAAAGAAGGGGGATACTGATTTGTTTATTTGCTACTTCCCCACCACCACCACCTTTCGTGCCAGTGGGAACTCAAAGCAGTTTCAGTTGCTCTCCTCTCCTCCGTTTTATCTGCAAAACAACCCTGTGAGGTAGGTTAGGCCAAGAATGGGTGACTGGCCCAGGGACACTCAGCAAGCTTCCAGAGGCTCTCCCAGTTATGCTCACTGCTTCGTCCCCATGGTTATCGAGGATTAAAAATCCAATGAAATACTTGCAGTTCTACAGGAAGCAGAATTGGGGCTTGAAGAATCAGCTTATCCTGGAAAGGGCTGCACTCTCCCCGGAGGGAGCTGGTTTGTGGTTGAGGGGTGGAGTCAGGTTCTTGTTCAGGCCTGAGCCATGGCACAGAGCACCTTTAATCAGCTGTGGCTGATGTATCAGCTGTAGCCTTTCCCTCAAAAAACATGACCTGGCTCCAGTGATGACACAGAGATCAGGTCACCCCTGTGCTGAATGCAGCGTGTGTGGGACGCCCGGCATGTGGTGCAGTGGTGAGATCATTGAACCAGGATCTCGGGGAGCCTAGCTTGTGTCCCTGCTGTGCCATGGCAGCTGGCTGTTCTGCCTCGGGCCAGTCATTCTTTGCCAAATCTGCCTCACAGGGTTTGTTGTGAGGATAAAATGCTCCCTCTAAGCTGTGGAGTCTTGCGAGCCATAATTCTACTTTGTGAGCTGCTGGCATTTTTTTTAATTAATTAAATTTAAAAGAACAGTTACAAATATGAAAGTAAATCCTGATGTTTATGCAGAGCAAACAGGGAAGTGTCGATTTTATGTGCTGCTGACGCTTCTAAGAGGGGCATCCATTTTTCTTGGAGTTTGTCAGGGACAGGTTGATTTTCAGATTGAAGGATACTAGTGGAAACTTTGTCCTGTAGAAAAAAGTCCCACAATTTCAGCGTCTTCTTAGATTTCCAATGAAATGCTGTAACATTCCTAGCAGCCGCAAGACATAATTCTATTAGCTCTTAGCTGCTGGCATTAAAGTTGTGAGCGGGCAGTTTGGCTGCTATGCAGCAAATTAGTTTGCTCTGGAGCCATCCTTCCTGAGCTAGAACAAAAATGTGTGAGCTGGAGGCTAAAAAACTGAGCTAGCTCACACTAACTCGGCTTAGAGGGAACACTTGGAGGGGAACGTGCTTTGGGTTCCCACTGGGAAGGCAGGCGAGGTATAAATAAACTAAACCAATATAAGAAAGAAAGAGCTGAATTTGCTCCCTGGCTGTTTCCAGGCACACTTTAAAGGCTAATGGCTTAGGGCCAGGGTACGCCGCCTCCTGTTCATTCCAGCCCACCAGTTAAAATCCTTCTAGCAAGCCCTGCTCTCTGTGCCCCCTCCCCGCCTGCAGAGATGGAGAGGGACTATGGTTTAGTGGAGGTTCCAGCTTCAATCCCTAGCATTGCCATCTAAGGGTCAGGTGAAAGACCACCTGATGTGAAAGACCTCTGCCTGATTCTCTGGAGAGCCACTGCCAGTCTGAGTAGACAGTACTGACTTTGATGGTCTAAGGGGCTGATTCAGTATCAGGCAGCTTCCTATGTGAGTAGGCTGTGACTAGAAACAAGGCTTTTTTGATGGTGGCCCCTTGCCTGGTGCCTACCCTACTCTCTTTTAGTTGCCAAGTCATAGCATTTCGTTTTTATACAAGTTTTTATTCAAGGAGTTGGGTTTTGGCACCGTTTGGGTTTTTTTTTTTAATTCGCAACCTGTGATGTTTTATGATTCTGTTGAGTTTTATTTTGTAAGCTACCTCATAAATCTTGTAGATACATAAATAGTGTGGTGGTTGGCAGCGGCGAGTGCCTTTGAGCAGTCGGGCAAGGGCAGGTTGCAGATGATTGCTGATTAAGTCTTTATGACTTTAAGGCCTAGAGTTATCAGTACTGTCAAAGGTGGGCAGGCCACCTGGTGAGTATTTTTGGGGACTAGTAACTTTTGCAGTGTTGTCTGATGATGCTGATGTGAGCAGGAAAGGGCCTTTGAGTCCAGCATCCATTGCCCAGCTCTCGCTACCAGATGCTGGAGAGGGAAGCCCATGGAGTCCTCCCAGCAGCCGGCACAGAAAGGAGTGCAGCTTCTGAATGTGGAGATTTCAGCTGTCAGGACTAGTAAATGTTGGTAAACCTCTTTCTACTCAAGAGTTTGTCTGATCTCCTTTTCAAGCTAGTGCTTGTCACTACACATTTTTTCTTCTCTCTCTGCAGTTTTATCAACTTCTGTCACTAGTCCCCCTCCCCAGAAGCCTGCAGGCTCTTTTCTGCATCTTTCCCGGCTCTACCGTCTCCTTTTTGAGATGGGGTAGCCAGACTCCACTACCCCTGTAATGACACTGTCCCTCTTATTTAGGAGTAGGGAGGTGGGATTGCTTTGGGATACTCGCATGTAAGGCTGTGTTTGGATAATAGTGTGAGGCTGATTGAGGTGGGCTCCTCCAGGCCAGATCATGCATCTGGGAAAGGTCATGTGCAGCACATGAAGGCACTGACCCTCCCCCGCTACTCGTTCTGGTGATCGGGTACTCATAGTTGGACTTCCTTGACACATGATAGTTCCACTTAGCTGTCACTGCTAATCCTTGGTGTCAGACTTATTTCTCCATCAAGTTTCTGTAGGGCCTCAAGGTGCATGAAGTGTAATATGTCATAGAATATATAATATAAGCAAAAAATATATAAGTCAAAAAATGAGTATTTATTTACCGAATTTGTTTATTGTCTGCTTTTTTTCCATTGAGACTTGAGGTGGATTACGGGACGATAAAAATGCAGTAAAGACCAATATAATGCACCCAGTAAAACGTGATTATGCAGTTAGAGAGCAATGAAATAGAAGACTGTAGAATACAGCCAGTAACCACGCAGTGGGAAGGAGAAGGAAGAAAGAAAACAGCCTGAAATGTTCATAGGCAATTGAACCCTTTTGCTTTCATGTAAAAAACCCTCATGCCCAGCTTGGTTGTGCCACATCCCTGTTCCCTGCTTAAAATGGTCCCCCAAGCGAGTTCCTTTTCACATGTTCCGTGGAGTGGCAGAGCGGCATTCCACCGGGTGGGAGCCCGGACAGGAAAACCAGTCCCTTACTTGGTACCCAAAGAAAGCTTCCTTTTCTTAATTTTTTAAATCTTTTATTCAAGTTGTATGATAACCTTATGTTCTAAACAAACATTTTTACAAATGATATCGCAAATGCAATAATTACCATAGACAACGACACCAGTATTCTCTTAATTGTCCCTGTACGGGGAGGTCCACCTGAAGTGGAACTGAAATTTTATTGTAACAACACAATGGCAATTTCCGTTAAAACTGTATGAACTCTGAGAGTCCAGTTGGAGGATTCTTCCTGTGTTGGAACGATAGCTAAATTCTGATATTTATTTCCTGAATGATAACTTCATGAGTATACTAGTAAGTTGTAATATCTATTGGACTATACCGTTTTCTTCACTGTATTGTTTGTTGTCAAATATTCCAAGACCGGAAACCGTTCCGTAAATTCAAAGAAAGCTTCCTTGGTGGTGTTTCATACAGGCAGGCTCTACCACAGGAAACGTGATTTGGTGTGAAAGGAGCAGTGTGCTGGGTTCAGCCGGGGGAAGGATCCCTGTGAGACTCAGTGGTGGAAGACGTGCATGCGCCCCCACTGAGAAGGGAAGCTAGACGGGGATGTCGGCAGAAAATTTTCCAGTGGGTTTTTTCTTTCCATTTCTAAAGACTTGTCCTAAAATGACAGATGCCATGAATGGATGGCATGGCCAGTGCAATATGAGGCAAGCTTGGCAGTTTCAAAACCGTCACTGGTGTTTTTCAAGTGAACACCCTTTTCCAACAACCTAAGAGGCGACTCTACACATGGACATGTGAAGATGAGAAGTGCTTGCCCACTCCAGAACCGCTGATTTCCGGAAGGGTGTTGAAAGACCTGAGTCAGATTGAGGTGACGAGAGAGGAGGTCCTAAAACTGATAGACAACTTAAAAACTGATAAATCACCAGGCCCAGATGGCATACATCTGAGAGTTCTGAAAGAACTCAAATGTGAACTTGTGGGTCTCCTGACAAAAATATGTAATCTTTCCTTAAAATCTGCCTCCATTCCTGAGGATTGGAAGGTAGCTAATGTCACTCCCATCTTTAAAAAGGGTTCCAGAGGAGATCCGGGAAATTACAGGCCAGTCAGTCTGACGTCGATACCGGGTAAATTGGTGGAAACCATTATTAAGGAAAGAATTAGTAGGCACATAGATGAACAAAACCTATTGAGGCAGACTCAGCATGGGTTCTGTGAGGGAAGATCTTGTCTCACTAACCTATTAATGTTCTTTGAGGGGGTAAACAAACATGTGGGCAAGGGGGATCCAATAGATATTGTTTACCTTGACTTCCAGAAAGCTTTTGATAAAGTTCCT